GCACAAGCCATATGGTTGCACGATCCATCATCCAACTTAACTATATAAGTTCGACAACGAGGACAAGGCTTTATATCACCACCTAAAAGCTCTTTCAATTGTTTTAAAAGCATAAAAGAAAAGCGATAAACAATCAAAAAAAAAATATCTATAATTTACGTTTCAACTGGTTCCCGAAAGACTGACGGTGACGTCGTGGAACCGTATTTCTTAATTTTCGACCACGTTCACGGCGCGCTTCATCACAAGTTTGACTAGCATGCCATGGACCTTTACAATGATAGCAAAAAAGTGTACCACATTTCTCGCAGTGTAACTCAGGACAAGCTGCACACGATGTTGCAATAACAGCATAACTAAAATTGAAATTAATAATGAAATAAGATAATTTGGCACATCAAATTTACTTTACTTTATATGTTTCATTTAAATACTGATGCCAATTTTCTATTAACACACATTATTTTTGATTGAATTCGCTATATGCAATTGTTTCGACAAAAGGTCAAGTGGGAAAAGAGATACTTAGGTTTCAATATCAGTGCTGTTTGTTTTGAACCGAGATATAATTATGCATCGAAAATTTCGAATAAAAAGCCAGAAAAATGACAAAGTGAAGCTTGATGTTATGCAACACAATATAAACATCAATAAAATAAGTAACCAACGTGCAGTCTGGTGCTGGACACCAACGTGTATCAGGATCTGTCATCAAAACTCGTCTAAGAGAAAAGTTTTCATATTTTTCTATTAAATCAGGATGTTGAACCATAAGTGAGTAAATATCAGTGGGATGTAAGAATTCACTACATTCCGGACATGTTATTTGCACACGACTTTCCATTATTTCAACTTGTAGATACTAAAACGTATTTACTTTTATTTCATAACTGAATTTCTTATCATTATTTTCAATGAATAATACAACAGACTGATTGAAGTGGCAGATAAAATGAAAACAGTTAAATAAAAATGATTACAATGCAGATAAAAATTTTACATTTGTGCAAAAATACCAATAAAATGCTTATTCAGTCAAAATCAAACAGACGACTTAGCAAAATGTAATCATCTGATGTTTTTTATGTTAAAATGAAAACTTCAATTTAAATTTAATTATGTTTTTTCTTAAGTTAAAAATCTTAGAATAGAAATACCTTAGATTGAACTACTTACTTGTACAAGACAACTTTTACAGGAACGATGATTACAACAAGCCAATTGGGGGAAATTCTTCTCCGATTGACGAATAAAACACAATGGACATTCTCGCAATTTTTTCGCACTGTTCGATGTATTATTTTGTGAAAATTGTGCAGGGCGTCTTACAGTGGGTTGCGCAGCAACACCATCATCATTTGAATGTATACGAGGCTCATTAAAATCGCCATCAACGCGACAACCAGAATCAAGGTCTAAATATTCATAAATAATTTATTAAAAATATTCGTACTTCAAATAAAACTAATAAGCTAATAATTAACTAAGTAATTAAATGATTAAAAAATAAACTAATAAACAGTTAAGAAAAATGCAAAACGCAGAAACAAACCGCTGTTTTCTATGACAACTGAATCGACCGAATGAGAATCATCGTTGCTTAGCGAACGACTTGTTTGTAATGTACTACAATTGATCTTATCATTTACCTCAACTTGTCCGCAATATTCGCCGACATTTAACGATTTTATATCAATAATTGAACAATTCATGACTTTTCTTTTTAAACATTCGTTTTTTGATCCATCACTAAATCTGCAAAAAATATTTATCTTAAAATTTAACTGTCGATAAAGTCGAATCAATTCTAGAGATCCACCTACATACATACATCTCCATCGATACGTCAACCTATAGCGAAAGAAATTCCAACATCTAGTGCAGAAATTATATCTGTATTATCTGTATCATCCTAATAATCGATAATTTTTTTTTTAAATTATCTTCAAATTTGTCTTTTTTTAAAATTTAATTATTTTTTTTAAATTTAATTATTAATTATCTCTATTTTTTGTCCTTGACGAGTCACGATTTCAAAAATCCGCGTGGCTGCTAGAGACCTACCTATATCTTTATTTCCAAGTGATTTTATGATGAAAAGGTCAGCCCTCTTTGACGCGATGTTCGTCCATTCCGACACGCATGCTACTTCTGACCCGGTAGTAAATGCGATAAATATATGATCCGGGCAATACAACGATAATACATAACGATAATACAACGATAGTTCCAAAACACAAGCATAGAACTTGCTCGCTAACCGACAAGTAAAAATCCATCAAAACCCGTCAAGGGAGGTGAGAACCTATCCGCTAACATTTTTTAAGCGTGATGAGGAGGCGAGCTGCTTGGAAAATCAGAGTGGTTATGGATTTTTGCAAGCCTAGCAATCACTGTCCACATCGTTTCTAAATACCACGTAGACGTGGCTTATTTATCGTCTTTCTCAAGTTGGCTCTCGAGTAATTAAACTTGGTTCCGAGCAAAGATATTAGCTATATTATTGTGATGTCTCGGATGACTCAGTGCGAAATGGCGTAGCGATTGTTATGTCTGCAAAGGCTCGATCAGCTCTGATTAAATGGAACCCAGTAAATGACCGTATAGCCTACGCGCGTTTCAAAGGAATTCGGCAATATTTCAGTCATCAGTGTATATGCTCCAACTTTATGCTCAGATGACCGCGATAGGGATAAGTTTTATGCGGAGCTTCAACAATATTCTTACAGAAAGGTGAAATGGTCATAATCAGAGGAGATGCACGCCTAGTACACGATAATTGTCAAATATGGCATCGGGGCCCAGTGCACCAATGGAGAATGCCTTCTTCATTATAGTTTCTTACTTCATTATACTTCATTATACTTCTTTCGGCATAGGAGGAAACATCTAGTCACATGGAACCAATATTTCAATTAGATTGATTATATATTGGTCAGCCATTGCTGGAAGAGTTCTGCACTTGATAGTCGTTCTTATTGAGGTACTAAAACTGGCAACGCCATGGATCAAATCTATGGTTCAAGTCAAGATCCGTACAAAATTTACGACAAGTCGTAAGAAACAACGCATCCCAAGAACTTTCAGTTATCTGAAATTCAAAATTCCGGGAAAAATAAGCGCATTTCAAACCGTATTACAGAAACACCTCAGTGAAAAGAACACGTCAATATCTGACACCTCTGGAAAGGCGAATGAATACTGGTCCCAACTAAACATACCAAAAAAAGTCAGCCACATAGTTAGATGTCGGAAACAACTGTCCAATGTCTGAAAAAGCTGCCAACGACCGAATGTCACAAGATCATGACTATTGTGTTACAACGACAGCAGCGCGGCGAGAAATCGCTACTAGAGCGATATGGCCTTGAGAATGGAGGCGACAGCTCAAGTAGATGAAAACAAGAAACTATTTCGCCTTCTTCACAAAGCAATTATAACTCAAGAAGGGATTAGTGAAAGTGTACAGGATATTAATGGCCTATTAAGGATCCCCTGAGAAAATGGAAAGAATTTTTTGGTGCTAAACTTATCCACGTTGGACGCCAACTGATTCGTCTGTCAGGCCATATGTCTGCAACATCGAACCACCAACAAAAGAGAAAATAATCTCTCTAATCCATAATCCATAAGCATACTCTAATAAAGCTCTCGGAGATGCTTTTCGAGCCCAACTCTTCAAATGTTGTCCATTATCGTTCATAACTCAACTTCAAAAAATGTATTTTCTGGTACAAGAAAATGAAATAATACCAGAAAACTGAAGCAAAGCAGACGTACAGAGGAATTAGCCTACTAGACATCTCCGGAAAAATTTTCGCTTCCCTTCTGCTAAATAGACTAAATGCTAAATGCAATACAAGATAGGGGAATGTATCCTAATCAAGTTGGATTCACATCTTGACGAGGTTGTGCTGACCAGATATTTAAGATAAGAAGGATGCTGGAACAAATACCAGCAACTCACAGTCACTTGCTTTATCGATTTTGCAGCTCTCTTCGATTCGACTGACAGCGCTCCGAAAAGTGAAGGAATGTGACGGTATCATAAAGGCATTTTATCAGCATACCCTGGAACAGGTCTGTGTATATGAGGAACTAACAGACTCCTTCGAAACAAGAACTGGTGTCCATCAGCGCCCCATCCTTTCCCCTACAATATTCAATTATGCGATAGACTGGATAATAGGCATCGGTTGTCGGAGTCAAGAGGTATGCGAATCACTCCAGAACATAATATCACTGACCTTGAATGCTCTGATGATGTAGTCCTTTTTGCTGATATGGGAAAATGCAAATGATGTTAAAGAATGTGTCAATAACTGTAGCGAGAATTGGACTCAAAATTGTAAATAAAACGAAAGTATTTTCATCTTATATACAAGATGTTAAATACCTATTTTTATCAATTCATTCCCTGTTGAGGAAGTGCTTAATTTTAAACTTTAAATACACTGTAATTCACTCTAATCCCAAATGACCAGATAAAGAAATTATAACTCGGACAGCTAGAAATATGTTAAATATGTTTTTCCGGCTGATGAAATCTTTATGGAATCGTCGCGAAATCACCATAAAGACGAAAATCTTCGTCCGTATAGCTGCAATTTGATCTTGCTATTTAGCTGCGAAATATGGCTAATAAGAGTGGAAGATACTGAGAAGCTATTATTCTTTGACCACTTATGTCTAAGATACGGATTCGTCTAGTGGATAAATTTCACATGATCGCATCCACCGCCACTTCCATTAGCAGTACCATCATAAATCATCGCTTTCACTGGTTAGAATACGTTCTTCGTCGTGCTCCACAAAGATTGTCGCATATTTCGTTACTTGAACCATGTGACGGTTCGCATCAAAAGTGAGAAGAGTCAAGATAGTCAAGACCTAGACAATCAGGAAAGATTTGAACGTATAGAGGGACCAGTGATATATGGACTTAAACGATGGAAAAAGGAACGGCTTCTATTGCTATTAGAAGTATTGTCAGACCGAGCAACTTGGAAACGTGTTATCCTTGTAGCCAGCGGAGCAAGCCTAACCAGTAATAGCGAGAGAAGAAGAAGAAGATCAACAAATGCAAAGCTGTCTATTTTTCATTAATTACATAAAAGATAGAAAAGATTGGATTTTTCCAGTGAATTCCATATATTAGCATTCCATGATAGTTATTACGCAATTCCATAACCATTTATGCATTTATGCATTTATTATACAAATAAGAATTTTAGATGTTTTTTTTCATTATAGTAGCCTTATTATTTCATTTTTCATATAAAATCTTATCGATTCGTATTTTAAATAAAATGAAAACGACTAAAAAATGATCGTATTTGACTTATTTAACTTAATTCTATTTACGCTGATTTCAATACAGAATGAAATGAAAAATAATTGATTCGAAAAAAAAGCGATAATTGGCTTTTAGCAGTTATTATTTTATCATTATCGTCATCATCTTATGTTATAAAGCAGTTTTCGTCATTGAGAATCTCTCTGAATACTTTCCATTCCAATAAGGTATATGGATCTTTAGTGTTAATGAGTTTTTTTTTGCGATTATATGCGGAACATTTTTTTGCATCTAAATTTGCTTCATTAAGTTTTCACCAATAAATGCCTACATTATTTAACAAAATATTATCATTTTATAAAATATTCAAAAAATAATAATATAATAATAAAAATAGTGCAATAAAATATATAAACAAGATGATCAATAATGCAAATAATTTTTAGTACCACTTTGATAAATATTTTTATTTTGAAAATTTTAATTTTCGTCGAGATTTATTCGAAAAAATCCAGGTCTTCCTATTTGTATGATTGTCTTTAAAAGATTGCAATTTGCTTTCCCTGTATTATTTTATATATCAATGGGCTACTATTTTAATTTTAGAAGATTATTATGGAACTCTTTCGCCAGAAAGGATATTTAAGGATAGCTCTATCTTCTAATCGCTTTTAATTTTAAGCTCACTACCATCATAGGGAAAGAATCGAATTTAGCCAAAATAATTTTGCCACACTCTTATATATTATAAAAATACACATGTGCCATTCACGCATAACATTTACGATGATTTGATAAGAGTAGCTCAAGCGATGCTGGTTATTCATCTTCACTTTCATCCCTTATGAACTTTGTTTGATGCAATAAGTTAATGCAGTAAGGCCAACCAGAAGTAATGAAATGATAAAATGGACGATTATTTGATAAGAATGACATTTTTAACATAGAATTCTCAGTATAAATTTTAGAGACTTATATATAATCGCCATAATTTTTATTGTATGATTTCATTATTTTAACCAATTTTGGTCATTTTATCAAAATTCTTCACTTCGATTTTTCGTATTTAGCGACAATTTTTTTTTTCGTTATTTAGTAAGTTGGAAACGTTAAAATCATTATTTTATTACTTTTTTTTGTTAAATTTCTATTTTTTAATTTCGAATGAGAAAGTAAATAACTTTAGTTTCAATTTCTGATAGTCAAAAAAAAGGAATTTTCGTATTATGATTTATAGAGAATTGAATTAAAAAGCAAATCATGATGATAATAATTTTTTACCATTTTTAGCAATAGCAATAGTACTTATAGAACAGTTGTTAATGATACCATTGCTTATATTTTTAGCAATAGTATTTATAGAACAGCTGTTTAGAAATAATTTTTATCAACAACTGATAAAACAGTTATTGAGATTTTAGTGGATTTAACTGGAATTCATATTTGTTACGCATTAATGAAATAAATTGTATTTAATTTATCGAAAACAATTAAAAATTCTTATTTTTTTATTCAAATTATTCTTCTAATAATTTGAAATTTTTTTCATTATTAACTTTTATTCATATATTTCGTTTATATGGAAAAAAAAATTCTTTTTGAAAATTCTTTTCTACTTCAAATTCCTTTTATAAGAAAATTTCAGTTGGATTCTCGTTTTTTTATAATTTTTTATTTTTTGGTTAGTTTCTTTAGAAATTCTTTAGAAATTACAAAAAAGCTGATCAAGCTTCGTCTCTTTCACGACTATTTTTCTAAGCTATTTGAAATATTACATTTTTATTAAATTTTCGATTTTTACATTTTCTTTTATATTACTTTTATTTCTTTTTTATTACTTTTATATATTATAAAATTCCGTTCAGCGAAATATTTTCTACTTTTTTTTTTCATTTCATCATTTCATGTTTGATTTCGAATTGAATTTTGCTTATGAAATTTTAATTTTTTTAATGTTTTTTCTTTTTTCACACAAAAAAAATCTAAATTTTCGTTAATTCAATATAAAAATTGCAGTAATATTAGTTGAATCTAATCTACAGGCGGCTAATCGTCAAGCGAATGAGACGACAAAATCGTTGTCGTCTCGACAACAAAGTCGATATCAAGATCGTGATCCCTTATTAATCGATGCAACAGATCGTCGCGTTCTATTTTGCGACGAATTATCACGTAATATTCATTTACCTGAAGCTAGTTCAAGTGGCGAACAACAGCAATCGGCATTTTTTTCTTTACTGCCTAGTTGCAGCAAAAAATTAAATTTAACTGTAAGCAATTTTTTTTGTTGTTTGATATCATTTAAAGTATAATTTAATTTAATAAAGTTTTATACCAGAAAGAATTATACCAAAGTTAAGTGGGCAAATTTCAATAAAATTGAGTTTTTCTTAAATAGTATTGAGGAAATTAATTTTAGAAAAAATGTCTTCGGCTTTTTAAATCTTATTATTAGATTATTTGGATATGGAAAAGGTAAATCTGATTTTTTATCAAAAAATATCCGAAAAGTGATATGACAATACATGATTATATATTATATAAAATATAACCAAATAAACCTGGATCTTCTTTATTTATTAAAACTTTCTATTAAAAATAGATTTAATAAATGTTTTAAGTTGAGATGTCGAAGAAAACTGTTGGCATGGCATGATGTTGATACTAGATTGCTAATACTTTAAAAAAGCATTCTTAGCTAGAAATTCATGATCAATTCATTTATCATTAGCTGGAAAAAATTATGCGTTTTTATTATCATTGATCTGCAGCCAAGATTTAGCTGCAACGATTCGCATGCATTTGCAATAATTGTGATTAGCCGACAACCCGAATATTTGCATATTTGCATATTCATCTACCCATTGTATCTCTATGTATTTCGTCGCATAAGAAAAAGTCCATGGAAAATTTTTGTTTGGAATCCCTATATGAAAGGTTATCAATAGGACTAAAAAGTAAAAAAATAAGAATTTATATAACCCAATCCTTTCATTCAAACTTTTATATAAAATATAATAGTTTATGTGAAAAATATTTTCTACAAACAAGTTGTTGCATTGTTAAAATTTTAGAAAAATTTGTCGCCCCAATATTCTCGAAAAATGTCACTCGTGGGTAAACCACTGGTTTATAAAAACTATCGAACAGATGAACGTTTTCGACGGGTTCAAAGCAAAATGCACAATTTTTTAGAGCGACCTCGAGGATGGAAGGCTGCGGGATATCATTTCGCTGTGTTGGTTTTCCTTTTTATATCTCAAATTTATTATGTCAGTACGGCGAAACGTATTTATCAACTGCGGTTTTTATTAATGAATTTAAGAAAAGCGAAGGTGGTTAATTTATATTTAAAGTTGCCTTCATTCGTGATTATCTGTTGATAAATGATAACAAAACATATTTGCGTTGAATGCTCCAGTTTTCCATTTATTTTTGTTGATAATTTCACATAATTTCACAATAAGTTAATTCGAACATTTCAAACTTTTGAAATATTTTGGAAATATTTCGGAATTTTTTTTCTGAAAGCATTTATCGGTTTTGGCTAGGCTTGTTGGACCAGAAAAATTTTGCTTTAGAGTCATTTGGTGAAAGAAGTACAGGTGAATCGCAAGCATAGCATCAAAGATATTTCACGATAATGCATTAATGAAGTAGTTTCAGAATGAAAACTTTATAATTAAACTAAAAGCTTTTATAAAAAATTAATAAATAAGCCGAGAAACTATTATATATTTATTTTCAACAATAAAAAAAAATAATTTCGATTTTTCACATTTTCCATGAATTAAATTAATTAGCATAATAATAATGTAATAATCTTTTTCTTTTAGTCGTATAAAAATAAGTTTTGCAAAAACTAATTTCAGTTTAATAATGGTACTAATGTGTCTCGCATTAAGTGTCTTTTCAACAATGCCAGATTTCGAAGAGCAAGCAACTTTAATTTTATATTACATTGTTAGTAATAATATTTATTTTTATGTATATCAAAAAAAAATAGTTTTTATTAAACGAAATTCTCTAATTCTCTAATTAAAAATTGAAGTGAGAAGTGAGAATGTCTTAAATTTTCCCCTCAGGAGATTGTATTCGTCTTCTGGCTTGCTGTCGAATATATATGTCGAACATGGTCAGCTGGTTGCCGATCTCGATATAGAGGCTTAGTTGGAAGAATTCGTTTTGCTACCTCAGCTTATTGTATTATAGGTGAATAAGAATTTTTATATTTATTATTATGCAATTATTTTTATAAGTCATATAAGTCTTAAATATTCTTAAATAAATAATCTCTTAAATAATCAGCTGGTAGTATTCGATGAAAATTTTAAAAATATCTATAAATATCTATTCAGCTGCATAAATTTGTTATGAAATGACAAGATTCGGCAGAGATTTTTCTCTAGAGGATAACTTTTCTTTAAGAAATAATTTCGGTTTCCAGTAATTTTATCAGATTTATCACAAATATATTTCGAAGTGTCGCGACGATTCATTTATTTATTTTATTTCATTTCTTCCTATAGCAATTTAATATTTTTAAATTATTCAAAAGACGTATTTTTTCAGATATAATTGTTATTATGGCATCTATTATCGTGTTATGCATGGGAGCTACTGGTCAGGTAAACCCATAAATTTTTATTTCCTTTCCTTTTTTCGGTTTCATATATTTTGAGAAATTTTCATGACGCATTTAATCCTTTTTCAATAAACAATTGGTTAAAGTTTTATTGTTTGCTATTCATTTATAATTATTGCCGCGTTATAATTTATCTAAATTTCTAATCAATTTTTTTCTCACCTTTCATCGATTATCTAATAAAGTTATCTTCCAGGTATTCGCAGCATCAGCAATCCGTGGTCTTAGGTTTTTTCAAATATTACGAATGCTAAGGATCGATCGACGTGCGGGTACGTGGAAATTACTTGGTTCAGTTGTATGGGCTCATAGACAGGTACTGCATCTTATCATATTATCACTAATCTTGTTATCGCAATATCCTCTTTTATGTGATAAAAATTTTTTACAATATTTTAATTGATTGCATTCTAAAGTTTGTCGAGATTTAAAAAAAAAAATAAAAGGAATAGAACGAATGAGATTGTTCTAGCAGAATCTTTGAAATTTAGCACCAGTTGTTATCACAAGTTTGATTAAACTGTCGTCTTCGTTGTTCATAATTTTTTCTTTACCATCGACCAATATATCTATAAAAATGATAATAACATCAAAATTTGAAAAAAAAATAACTGTAACAAAAACTGCGCATTAAAAATGGACATAATGCGATAATGATAAATATATATACATGTATTTTTTCAGGAATTGCTCACTACACTTTATATTGGTTTTCTTGGTTTAATATTCTCTTCTTTCTTGGTATATCTTTGTGAGAAAAGTACCAACGAGAAATATTCAACGTTCGCCGACGCATTATGGTGGGGTGTTGTAAGTTTTTCATCAAAAATTTTCAAGAAATTATGCGCAAAAAAAATTCAATTAAAACTATTCAAATTAATTTTTAAAATTAATTTATAAGATTCTTATTACTTATCTGATTTGAATTTTTTTTCATGGCATAAAGTCTGCTTAGATAACCTTATCGACCGTTGGTTATGGTGATAAAACACCCGAAACTTGGCCTGGAAAAATGATTGCAGCATTTTGTGCACTTCTTGGAATCTCTTTTTTTGCTTTGCCAGCTGTTAGTTATTCTAAAATATTTATAAATACCAGTATAATCCTACTTTTTTACTGTATAACATTTGAACATAGAGACATTGGCAAGGAAATTTTTTATTCGGGCATTCACATTCCTTAATATTGATAAATTGAGACCTTTGACGTTCTCTAAAATTCTGTAAAATGTTATCTCATCCCAAGTTTTAATTATATGAAGTTTCAATTCTATTGTCTTAAGAAAATCGCTATTGGCAACAATTTATCCAAAATTTTTTCAATATTGATAATTTCAATATCAATAATTTCGTGCTACTCGATAAAAAATTTTAAGGGAATTTTGGGCAGTGGTTTTGCATTAAAAGTCCAACAACATCAGAGGCAAAAACATTTAATAAGGAGGCGAGTTCCAGCTGCAAGGCTTATTCAGTGCATGTGGAGACATTATGCGGCCATTCCTGAGAGTTGCTCGATAGCAACCTGGAAAGTCTATCTCGCTCCTACTGAAACATCACCCGCGTTAGTTTTTATTATCGTTCATTTTAATTTTCTTCAAATAACTATAAATTTACTCGTGATATGCACAATTGGTACACTCGATTTGCATGTGTATTTTATTCTTTTCAGCATGATTAAAAATTTTAATTGTTGTTGATAATTGTAAACTATACTATACTATACTTTTTTTTCCATTCACAGAACATTTAGTAGTTTGGGATGATTCTCTTAAGAAATATCAGTGATAAATAATATTTTTTATTATTAAATCGGTGTTATAGGTCGTCGTAGGTCTATTCTTTTGTGTTAATCAAAAAAACTTTCGCTTCAAAATGATTTTGTCTAGGCGAATATATGCCCATTGGGAACATTCTTCATATCCCATTCGATTCTATTTCAGATGGAATCAGTTTTGCTAGGGCACGTAACCATTTTCATTTTAAATTTCATTTCATTTTAATTCAATTCATCTTTATCAAAAATTTATGTCGATTAATAGCGAAATAGTAATAGCGTTTAGAAATTTATTAAGAAAATGATGCATAATTGTTTCAACCATATAAACCATTTAGTAACCATTTCTATTACAAATGAATACAATTCAATTGTTCGATCACTAGAGCGGATTCTTTGGCTTATAGCCAGAGGGAATATAATAAAATATATTTATACTATTTTATACTCTTTTTTAAATAAATTTTCATTGATTTAATTCCATTGTCGTTCTTTAAAATTCAATGTCGTGGCTTTTCTTCTCACCTCTTATTACCTCTCATCTTCCTCGATTGCTAAAACATTAGAAAAAATTTAGCGATTTATATTCTTTTTCCTATTATAAGTATCTTTGAAAAATGTAAAGAAAAATTTTCATTTAGGAAGATATCTTAAAAATTCATTTTATATATCCATTAGGTTCTTCGATGAGCCTTAGATAAGCTAAATAGATGAGGTAAATTGTGGTATTTCAATTTGATTTCAGTACTGAAGACTGTTATCGTTTGGACAGCAAAAAACGTATCTTATCATCAAAAAGACGCAATAAGAAATCCAATGGTGCCCTATCTATATTCGCAACTCGTTTAACAGAAACTGCGATGGGTAATGATTCGCAATTCATGATTTATAGCAGGTGAATGAAATCAAATGTATGAAAATAATTTGATGAATTATGATTTATCAAATCTTTTCACCTTATTCTCAGTTTTTCAATATCATATTTATCACTATTGCAAATATTCACCGCAAATCGCACATCGCTCTGAAAATTATTCATTGTCGTTGAGCAAACATTTGGTTTGGCCAGAAATATTTCCATATTATTCTCAATAAAATCTTGCCGAATTGATTTTAATTGCATGAAAATGGACATAAACAAATTATATATATTATTTATTTGTACAGAATGCTCGAAAAATTTCATCCGACTTTGATGCAAATATTAATTAATCGAAAATCATGAAAGGCTAAATTATGAACCATAATTTTTTTGTATAGTTTTTATAATATCAATTAAAATTTGCATCAAAATCTTATGATGCTATTTTGATTATTTAAAGCAAAGGTTCTTAACTTTTTTTCTTTCGTTTCATAGAAATTTTGGTGAATTTACGAGCATAATGGCTCTTCTATTATTCTATTATTCTATAGGCTATATTTCATGAGATTTTTCTATAGCATGAAGAAAAAACATGAATAACAAAAAGTAAAATAATACGAAAATATTTATGATGTCTGCCTGTAGCAAAGCATTCTGACTGATATTCTGCTAATATTATTTATTGTAGTTGGTTATTTGAAAATGAAAGAAATGTTAAAGCATAAAGGATTCAGCAGCTATTGAAACCGTAAACCACAAGTTAAGAACCTTTGAAATAAACACGCATATTTGGAGTATTTTCACTAAAATATGACATTTTTGTGCCAAGAACAGAGGGATGCAGGGATTTGATTATAAACACTACATGAATAAATTAGTTTTCAACTTAGAAGATGAAAAAATATTGTAATCGTATGTGCAAGTATCTGCTAAAATCGCCTTGCCTTTAAGAAGCTATTCGCTTGATTATATATATATATAATCTCTTAAATAATCACAAGCTTAATTTGCACCCAACGATTCAAAAAAATTGGCTTTTCATCGATGTTATGTTATAATCAACTAAAAATTTGAAATTTCAGCAAATAAAAAAAGAATTAAAGAAAAAAAGAATTATTATAATCTATGAGAAATTCTCGAAAATTTTTTTGTCTGAAAATATTTTTATAAGAATCAATTGACCTTCAATCTTACGATTCTCTCACAATAGTATTTTTTCAATTCTTATTCAATATTTCGAAAACTTAAAAGCTGAAAATATTAATAGTCGAACTGAAGTTCTTTAAAAAGCTTTTATTAAAAATTTACCAATTCCAGGAATCGATTGTTTCCGAATTCCAGCAGTCTTATCAATCGACTGAAACAAAGTACGAAGAAAAGGCCATCGCCTGTGATCCCTCCACCTGATACCAGTGTCAGCACCATTACGGCGATAAACACAAGCAATGCAATAATGAAAACATTAGCTATACCAAAGCATACCGACAATATCAGGTTGTGAGAATTGTTCTGAAATTATCAGACAAGAAAATTCTTCTTTAAATATTTTAAAATCCTTTCTTAGTACATATTTGGCAAGTTTTCTTAAGCTAATGATTATATAAGCAAAACTTATTTGCAGTTTTATTTCCACATCAGACTATAGTGAAGTGGAAAGTCTTGGAACACTTGGTTTTACTCTAGGAGGATGGAAATCAAAAAGTAAAGGCGGAACTGGCTTAAAAAAGGTACATGATGATTGCTTTACTTCGCATCGAGTTGTCACTAGTGGCTCATCACTTGGCGCTGTCGATCTCGGTTTGTTTTTCTGGCAGTTGAATCTTGTTTTCAATATACTATTCAGTTCCTGTCTTAAAAAATAGAAAGTCGTAACAAAATTTTTAGCTTTTCTGGGCGATCACTTTTATGATTAATTAATTAATTGCAACATTGAAAAGATGACCTTCCGAAATCTCTTCCTTCCGAAATATGATTAATTAGGTAAATATAATCAAAACTGCTTGGAGATTTATCATGTTTTAAGGCAGTTGTGATTGATGGTTGACCTAAATTGCAATGATGGGTAGAGACTATGCGCAGTACAATAGCGTGCAGTAACTATGAGTGGGAATAATAATAAGTATTAATAGATAATTATGAAACGAAGATTTTTGGCTTCTTTAATTAATTAGGTATTTCACTGGATTCTGTACAGTCGTTACGCGCACAAATGATCCAGTGAAGTAGTTGCTTCTATTGGTGTCAAAATTAAGAATTATTGATTCAATTTTTTGGCGTATATAAGTCCTATTGTTCGAAAATTTCAGTGGTGCTTGTAACACGCCATTTATTATCAGTACTGCGCATATTTCTGCTTATATTACTAATAGCCAGCCAACCAACCTAAATCACTGGAAAATATAATTTCGATGATAAAATTTTTAAAATGATAATGATAAAATAATGATAAATGATAATGATAATGATAAAAGAGAAATTTAAAGATAGCTATATAAAATTTAGATGAAGAATATCCATCATTACAACCAAGAACTATCGATGATTTTACACCACTATTGAAAAATGTTATACGTGCCATAAGAAGAATTCAGTTACTGGTTGCAAGAAGAAAATTTAAAGAAGCACTGAAACCATATGATGTGAAAGATGTTATCGAGCAATATTCAGCTGGTCATGTTGATTTGCAAGCACGAGTTAAATGTGTACAACAAAGGTTTAAGTCTTCTTTTATTATCATGGATGCATGATGCATGTTTCTGAAGAAGTAGATCCTACACAAGGACGTGAAACAGCTTTCAAAAGCAAGTATACTGTTCACTCACATAATTCATTTTCATAATTCTTCGAACCTCGTCAATTTTTCCGAAACTCCTTATTATTATCCCTAAAAATTTCCAACTCCTATAACACTTCGCACAGCTCATATATTCTTTGTTATCATGTTTCTCTCTGATTTTATAATATTCTAATCACTTTATGGCGGCAATCGCAGCAAAAGTGATTATGTGACAGGAATGTTAAGCTTGCAACTGTATCTGAGGAAGACAAAATGAATTGAATTTGAGAAGCTATAACTAACGAACTATGACTAAGGAGAACGGGGTTTGGCAGTATGTTAAGGGTTCATCAAGTGATTTGAAGATCTTTATTAGAAATAAATTAGATTTCCAGCAGTAGTAGAAGGTTCCAAGAAGTTTGAAAGACATTCTAAATGTATCATACATTTTATATAAATTATTTCTCCTCATTTCCTCATTGTTTTCTCGCCTATATTTTTTGTCATAAGGTTGAAGTCATAAGGATGTTTTGAGTTGCACATTATTCCTTTTGATAGGAGCAGTGACAGATTTTACATTTCTACTCATAAACAAGTAAAAAACTCTATACTAATAATGAAATACTGATGACTGATAAGGAATAACTTATACCTATATTTTCAAGTCGTTATTCAAGTCCAGGTAGTAACCGCTAACCAAGCCAGAAAAATTGTTGCAAGGCTGAACTCAAACATATTAATACAGAGGGTTTTCAAAGACAAGAATTGATTTATTTTGAATATTTTTGTGTAATTGCTTAATTTATAGACTTGATCAAATTGTTGGAAAACCGAAAGACGACTCGAAGGTTTCGCTAATACATCGCATTATTGTTATAGAAATGCAGGTGAATTTTATGTTTTGTTTAAATTTTAATCTTATTGATTTCAGTTAGAAATTTTCATCAAATGAAATAAATTTCATAAAATAAATTCATTTATAATTATTAAAAATTATCATTTAAGATGCAAAAACTTGATCAAAAACTTGATTTTTTGATCGATTTATTACTTGACCATCGACAAAAAAAGCAACTGATAAATTCAGCGAGAACAATATCAGAATTCAACGATAATATCAATGAGAAAAGGAGATTTTATATAGATCGCTTATTGCAAAAACATTTCAAGTAATTTATTTAAAACTTTCTTGAATAAATAAATGAATAATTTTTTATATTCTTATAAATAAAAGAAATTAATGATGGGGGGATGCCAAGCAACGCGAAATGAAAGCGGTAATATATATATTATATTACACATGTACATAAGTGAGATCGGTATATGGCTTAAACTCTCGCAATAAAAGAACCTTTAGAGAATCGTAAAGAATAATAAGGCCAGCATTTTGTGAAACGAATAAATAAATGCTGGCCTTTTAACTAGATATGTAAAAAATAAAGATATATAAGAAAAATAAAGATATATAAGGATAAGATATATATAAAGATATAAGGAAAATCAGCACTGGACATTGATATAGCAATACCAACTGGCAAGAGCACTGAGAAAAAAAAATGCGAAGCTAGAGAAGATGAGATTTTTAAAACATCAGAGATCTCTATGCAGAAGAGATCTACGCATTGTTAAGAGTTAAGATACCAGGGAGAAGCATCCAACTCCCAGATCCCTGGCAGACTCAAGGATGGGCATGACCTATAGCATCCACGGAGGTTGAGAAAGGAGTAATTGGTTGTGCTTGAAATGGTTCTCGAATTTGGATTCCGATTCTAAATTTTGTGGGGTTTCCTTGAATCTCTTATAAGGAATTAACCACTTTATAAAATTCTTTATTTTCTAGTTGCTTGATTTTTAATATGACATGGCATCGATCTCTTAGTTAGTATTTTTTTTGAAACGTTAAATTAAAATATTACAATTGTAGTTCTCCTTCTTTCTCAAAGTAAAAAAGAGACTCCTGTTTATCAGTCCTATCAATATAAAATTCATTATTCTAGTGATCGTGACGCAATTACGAAAACAGAAGATGAAGGTCTTTTACAAAAGCAATGCATTCCTTCAAATTCCGATCATTCTGCTTCATTTGAAATTGGTTAATTTCTAAATAAATTACAAAATTCTGTTTTAAATCTGCCACGCAGTTGCTTAAAAATAATCTGCAAAAATTTGGGATCTGAATAGGATTGCAAAGATTTTTATTCGTTCTGTCCTCGATCTCATTGTCTTCTTTGACAATTAGACATATATTACTATTGGATAGATCGTTGAAACATTTTCATTTGAAATTGGTTTTCCCTAAATAAAACAGTTATTTGTCTAAAATAACTATAAAATAAATGTACAATATAGTTAAAAAATAGTATGGTATCCATAAACTTCTATTGGGCATAGCCACACCTATGGTTAACATGCATTATTGTTTGTTGACTACAATCATTATTGAAGAAAATGTTCAATTTTAGTTAATTATTGGAGAAAATGATGTAAGTAATTTTTCTTCATCCTAATTAATGGCTGAATACAACGCTGAATATCTAATTATCTTATTATCAGGCTCTGATATCATACTTTTGAGATAATGACAAGGATTTTATAGGCGATGCAAATATCTCATCGGATTCACCAAACGATGAATTAAATTTGCGAGATTTGAATCGAAAAGATTCCTCAGCGACTTTAATTATTCATCAATCAGCAAATTACCAAGAAACAGAACCACTTCTAGAAGTGACGAAAAACGATAGAGATTTGCATATTTATATTGATGATGCCGAGTAGATGAAAATTTCGCGTTTTATCGAAATATGTCTCATCTGCGAATTATCCACGAATTATATGTGGTGCTGCTATTCGATAGGTTCGATTCGATATGCTCGATAAAGTGTCTCTATCAGTTCTATATTTATTCTATATACGTCCGATTTGCACATCTCATTTACTGCTTTAAATTTCTTTCAAGACAAGACATAATTATACCATTTTTTGCTTTTGCCTAAAAATCCATCTTTTATAAAGATTTTTTTTAGCCTAAAAAATGAATTTCGAAAGATTTAAGTGAAGAATTAGTATATAATTTATGAATAAAATATGTGCACATCGAAGAATTTGCGAATTTGCTTAAAGCTAATTCATAGAGATAAGATAAGATAAGACGAACGATGAAATTAAACGATGTAATGAATTTAAGAAATATTCTACTTCACTTTTTTTTTGTTTCATATATATGTAGTATGTGATCGCTGGCACGCTGATAAAATTAATAAATTTCATCAAATCCAGTTTTTGTCGTAAATTCTTTGTTAAATCATTATTTTTACATATATATATATATATATATATATATATTATATATATATATATGTATATCAGCTTGTCATTAACATCGTTTTAATCATTTTTTGATTATATTTCAGGTGAATTTTTGTGTTTCTTTTTTTTTTAAAATTGTTTATATCAATAAATATATCTATATCGAAACATATCATTTATTAAATTTTTATCTTTCGTTTTTATCAATATTATCAATTCTAATTGCGAATATAATTCGGCGACTTTTTTGTAATACTTATTGTTAGAAGTTTCATTAGCGAGGAAAACAAATAAAAATCAATTAAATGAACGATAAATGAACCATATGCATGAAAATTTCACAGAAAAAAAATTTGTTATTAAAATTGTTTTTATTGAAATTTTTTTTTGTTTATTTTATTTATTTTTCTTACTTTATTAATTATTTTTATTTTATTTATTTATTTTTATTTCATTTTATTTATTCGATTTTTCATAAATTATTGGAATAGAAAAGGAAAAAGTTTTATATTTATTGCAAAAATAATTAGTGTAAAAAAAAGAAAATCCTCGAACATTTATCAGAATATACCTCGCTTTTTCTTAATGTCGCATAAATCTTTTTGTTAGTTTCAGTAATCAATGATTGGTTAGTAATCACAAATCGTATTGCCTCGGCTAAAGAGTATTAGCATGATTTCAAATTCTGTGCCTTGATAACAATAAGCTTATCACAAAAAAATTTAGGCGGTGCTGTAAAACCAAATCCTGAAGATGAATTTTTGGTACATATTGCGCCAACTGATGTTCCTTTTGCGATAATAATGTTTTAATATAATTAATGCTTCAAACCAAATCAGATATGGTGAATGGTAATTGGAGAAGAAAAAATCTTATCAAACAGGTAGTTAATTATGAGTCTAAGACTGTCTGAATAAGCATATAAGAATGAGAAATTCTAAAATTTAAGGTAATTTTAAAAGAAAAAACTTTTTTTATAATTGGGTAATCAATCCAATTATTTATTGATTGCGGAAAAAGATAAAGTAGGAAAAAACTTATAATTATTTTGAATTCATTTTATGGCTTGTTAACTTCACTGCATTTGAGATTATGCTTTTAATATTATCTTTTTATATTGTCTTATCTTATTATTATATTATATAATATTATCTTATTTGTTAAAGCTCAATTAATATTGAAAATATTTTATTTGAAATCTTTATTTTTTATTTAAATCTCAGTTAATATTAAAATATTTTTGATATTAGGTATATTAAAAATATTGATATTAGGTATATGACTTGACAATGATAATGATCTAGTGATAGCAAATTGGAGGATCTAGTAATGATCTAATGATATGATAATGATCTAATTTACGATGATTTTAATGCTTTATATTTATCCATTCGACAATAAATTTCATCTGCCCACTAAAATTTTTGAAAAATTCTCTTTTTATGTCAAGTATTGTGGAATTCATTTAATTCATGGAAAATACAGTAATATAATTGAAAGAAAATCAAAAACTCAAGAAAAAATAAGTTATAAGATGGAAAAACAAAATTTGATCTACTGAAAATCCACATGTCTAGAGTCCATATTTTTAGTTCTTATCTCCCGTTCAATGTTTAGAAATAAAATGCCAAAATTTAACTGAGATATTTTCAAGAATTTTGAATATTAATGATATCACAACTCTTTATCAGAAATGATAGGTGTTATAAGAAAAGGACGAAAACCTATCAAGTCGATAATTGGTAATTATGAGAATTACAAGATTATAAGATACTGCATCAATTCCTTTACAACAATTAAGTTATCATTAAAATGAAATCTAATAGATATTTATTTTCACTTTTATCTCCAAATCATTCCAAATGATAATTAAAAATATTTCATTATTTTACAACAATTTTTTTTTTAAAAGAGTCCTCACCATTACTGGTTAGACTCGCTCTACTGGCTTGTGGCATCGGGCAATATGCCAGGGAGTCCCTTGGCGATAGAAATACAGGTGAGTCGCCAGCATCACTCAGATTTTTGTACAGGTTGTACTCCTGTACTCCTGTGGGGAATCGAGCCTCAGCATCAGCGTTCCCAATTGAGCAACAACCCACTCAGCCATTCCATTTAACTTTATAATAATAAGATAAGGCAAATTAGAAATACTGCATATTGCAATGAAAAAAAATAAAATATATGAAAGATTCAAAATTTAGAGAAATGATTTAATAAAAATGTACGATTGTGATGATGAATAAATATTTTTTATTGATGAATTGATTTGACATGGAATATTGCATTTTTTTATAGTTCTTTCCCATTGATGGATAAAGGATATTCGCTTTTTTTCCATTTTGTTCAATTATTTCAAATAATTGATTATATAAAAAAAAGAACAATTTCATATCATAGCGGAAGAATATCAAAGCGAAACGATTGATTTTATTTCAAATGGTGTGAATTTCATTTTCATGGAAAGGCAATAAAAATTCTTATTTCATTCCTTTTATTTTGCTTATTTTTTAATTTAAATTTAAATTTTATGTAAATTTATATAAATTTTTTAATTTTTAAATTGCAAATTGCAATTTTTTTAAAATTTTTTTGGAAAAAAACTTTTAATATAGCAAAAAAATGG